AATAATAATTCCTCTTCAGCATTTTGAGAAGGAGGCAATAAGTTAGGGTCAGTCATTTCCTCCACTAATTTATTTATTTCTTCCTCCGGTAAATGAGGAGTGCAATCATATCTTTGCTTTGGATCATTTCTCAATACTAAACCAATCAACAAGCCTTTTTCTCGTGGCAAAAAGGCTTTCAATAAAAGAATTATCATTCTTTTCCATCCGGTAATTTACCTTGAAGTTTGGAAATAAAATCTTTTTTCTTATCCAATTGTTTGGCTATTTTGAGGATTTTTTCATCATTCATGTAAGAGCCGCGCTTTTCTTCATGATAATTTGTCTAATTGTTCGACTTTTTGTGAACTTCATAAATTAGAGCATGATTCCTAGCACCGTACCGATATTAGATTTGCTAAATATTTTCACCATGAAAGAGCAAAAAACTTTCGAGACGGATCGTAATAATCTTTTTTTCTAAGGAAATCAATAAATTTTCATCGTTGCAGTCCTTTCTTATCCAACCATTCCTCAATTTTCTTACAATATCATCTCTGAAATTCCCTAGTGAATTCTTTATTTTCATCTTCTCCACAATCTAAACAGTAAGGTTCTTTGTTCTTGTCTTTAAAAGGCTTAAAAAAATCGTTCCAAGTAATATTTTTGTGAATGCAACTTGGCTGATAATTACTACTTTTAAACTTGTATTTTAACTTTATTCTTTCGGGAAATTTCTTCTCCACTTCCTCAATCTCTTTTAAAAATTGCTCTACTTCTGATTTAACAGGACTAGTTTTTAATTCTTTATTTCATTTATTAACCTCTATCTTTATTTTTTTTAAGTTTTTGTAGTCTTCTAAGGTTAAAGAATTAGGCTCAGAAGAACTTAATAATTCTATTTCTTTTTGGTAATCAGAAAGTTTATTTTGAATTCTTTGTTCTAATTGCTCTTGAAAGTATTGTTGACATTTAGAACGAAAACATTGAGTTCCCACTACTTTTTGGCCACAGTTGGCACAGACTTTACCAGACATGGTTATTGTTTAGGTGGGATTTGGATTTGGGCTTGGTGAGAAGATTGTTCTTGGGGGTCTTCTTGAATGGTTAGTTCGTCTAGGTTGAAATCATTAAGATCTAGTTCTAGGTTTTTGGAACCACCGTAGAATTCGTCATTAATTTCTTGACTGTTTTGGGATTCAGGAAGATTTTTGAAGTCTAGTGGTTTACTAATAAATTTTGATTGTGGATGAAACTTAGGATGATACAGAGGAATTATTTTGCTTACTTCTCCCACGGGAACTTCCACTATAACTTGACCGTTTTCTACTGTTGTTAATCAACCTTTTTTAACTTTTTTGCTTGCTGCAATTTCTTCGCCTATTTCTACTGTTCTTTTTACTTCATAATTAAATATTTTTTGATACTGATGATAAAACAATGTTTTTTTATTTTCTCCTTCATGCATTTCATTTTCTCAACTTTGTAGAGTTTCACTTAACTCGGTAGCTGTAGGACGGAGTAAAATTTCGGCATCTCAACATCTTTTAATTAAATCCTTTAATAGTTGAGGTGCTTGAACATCACTTAAATCTGGTCGTAGTCCTTTAAATATTAATAAAGCCAAATTTGAATCGTAGTCTAAATCATAGTAAGGAGGTAAGCCAGAAAGTACTTCATAAGCCACCATTCCAAAAGAATAAATATCAGCCGCTTGGGTGTAAGGTTCTCCGCGGATCACTTCCGGTGCTACATAAGGTAACACTCCATAAATTTTTTTGTCATCAACTTCATCAGCAGGCCGACATAGTCCCAAGTCAGTAATACAGCACCTATGAGATTGAGAAACAAAACGACCTCCTGTATGAAAACTCAATATATTTCCTGAGTGCAAGTCTCTGTGTATTAATCCTTTTTTATGAATTGAACTTAAACCCTCTGCGACGTCTTCTAATTGGGTGAATTTTTGATAAAAATATAATCGTCCATAATTCTTTTGTAGATGTTGCCGCAAACTGCCATCTTCCATGCATTGCATTACCATGATGTAATTTTTGGTTGTAGGATCTTGGGAAATTCCAAGGCATGGTACAATAGGTTCAGCGTCACCAGCACTGAATAACTTATTACAGACAACTTCATGCAAAAATTCTGCTTTTGCGTTCTGAGAATTATTCAAACTTTTTAAAACAACTTTACTATTATTTCTTTTCCAGTTGTTTGTTTTAGTGTTTCAGCAACTAATTTCTCCGTCAATCAAGTCTGCTTTATATATCTTTCCAAAACCTCCTTCTGCCAAATATTCGACATTGGTAAACTTTTCGTAAGGCATTCATTCTAATACACTATAACAGCTAGTTGCTTCTAATTGGCATTTTTGAATGAGTTCGTCAATTTCAGGGTTATTACTAGTTCAATTAGGAAAGTTTTTTCGAAAATGTAGCGAGTTGCACGGCTGACATCACCTTTTTCCAGTGTTAGTCTTCAAGCATTCATGACATAATCCATATTTAATGTATTTTTCTTTTAGTTCTTTGTTAGGCAACAAGTGCTTAACCAGTGACTTTAGATATTCCTGTTCTGAAATTAATTCAGGTTCAAAAATATTAATCTCAAAATCTTTCTTTATTTGTTCAATTACCTCTTCGTTAAGTTTTTCATCCTCAACACTCTGCTCTTCAGTCTCGATTTCTTCCATATTCGGTTGACTTTCCAACTCTATTCTTTCAGTATTGTCTTCTTGATTTTTTATTGTTTTTTTTCTGCTACCTAAGCAAGAATAGCCATATGCAATTATTTTTTTTATGCTTTCCATGTTTTTATTATTCTTCTTCTTTTTTTATCCTGATTTTTCAGGATTACCAAAAAAATCCCAAAATATTCCTTTCTATTGCCTAAAAAAGAATTACTTTCAGAAGGACTAGGGTTTATTCTTCCTTTCTCTGGCGTTAGGGAACACTGCCATGTCATATATAATATTGTTTTAACCTTTACATGTAGAAGTATATATAAAATTACAATATAGACATGGAAACCATGAAATCAGTAATTAGTAAAGTGCTAAACTTCTAATGCTGACAAGGGGTTAAACTGATTTAGTTCACATAATTTATTTTATATATAAAAAAGTTTTTTAGTTAACTTGACTGCTAAGTTTTTATAGTCTACTTAACTTTAAATATTTTTGGACCACGGCTTGAACTTTCCGTTTTATCAAACCCTCTAAATGTAAAACAAAAACCAACTTCTCCTCAATTTCATTCATTTCTTTTTCAGTCAGCTCGCCCAATTTTTCCTTAAATCTTTCAATGGTAATGGCTCTTACTTGTTCGCATTTGGCTTTGCCGGGTTTGCCTTGGAAGAAAGTAGCCACTTGAAAAGGATAAATTTTTTTGACTTTACTGGAAAGAGGAACAATAACAATTACATTCTTTTTCGCGTTTTGCTGGTTGTTGGAAACTACTACTGCTAAACGCTCATCATCATCATTGCCTTTCTGCTCGTAGCCTTGGGCGTCAATTATTTCCACTAGATATACCTCACCCCGATAAGGATTTATTTCGGAAATTTTATCAGCTAACTGTTTTTCTGAAATATCCATTTTATTTGTCCCAATTATCTCTTTCTACTCCTTTTCATTCCTTTATTTCAGACTGTTCCTCAGGGTCATTGGCCCATTCCTCATAAGCGGTGGATAATTGTTGCTCGTTTTGAGCAAAAGTTAACTCACTTAATATTTTGGCTAATTCTTTTTCTTTGATTTTATTTTCCCGCAAGCGGTTTTGCAGCTCGGTAAGGAATATTTTGTTCGGAACTTGTTTTAATTGAAGGTTGGGGCTTTTCATAATAATATTTTTTAATTTTTAAATCTTTTCTCCACTTCTTCTTTATTTAATAAATAAATAATTTGGGGTAGTTCTGGTCCTTTGTCTGTTCCAGTCAGTACGCTCCTTACTAATAAATAAAACTCTTTTTTAGGTGCTTGACTACTTGTAGAAACTGATTTAAGAACCGACTTAATATTTTCTGCTTCTCATTTATCTAATTTGCTTAATTCTTTTCTTAATTCTTCACTTCATAAAATCTCATTTTCTTTAACTTCAATTTTTTTGTTGGGTTGGTGGAAAAAATAATAAGTTAAGTCTGTTAATTCTTCAAAATAATTCAGTTGCGGGCGAAATAATAAAGAGATTTGTTTTACTCATTCCTTCTTTTCTTTTTCTAAATTATATTTTTTTGTTAATGTTTGTCAAGAATGTTCGGAAAATTCTTCCTCAGTTAATTGTTGGATATAGTAATTGTTAAATCAATTAAGTTTTTCTAATTCATAAACTGCCCCGCGGGCGTTTAGTCCTTCTAAATTAAAGGCTTTTCCTGCTTCCGATAAAGAAAAAATTTCTTGGGTAGTTCCGGGGTGTCAACCCAAAAGTAGTAAATAGTTAACTATTGCCTGTGGCAAGTATCCTTTTTCCCGTAATTGACTGATTAATTGTCATTGACTTGTCTCTTTATCCCGCTTAGAAAGTTTTTTTTTTTCTTGATTGAGAATTATTGAAATATGGCCGAAAAGAGGCGGGGTTCACTCCAACGCTTCATATAGTGATAATTGCTTGCCAGTATTAGACAAGTGCTCTTCTCCCCGTAAAACATGGCTGATTTTCATTAAATAATCGTCAACCACGCAAGCAAAATTATAATTAGGAACGCCATTTTGCCGAAAAAGGACAAAATCCTCAATATCCTTTCCCGAAAAATTTACCTCTCCTCGCACTAGGTCATGAAAAAAATAATTTCTTTCTTGAGGAATTTTTAGGCGTATCACGTAGGGCTTTTTTTGTTGAAGAAAAGACTGAATTTCATTTTCTAATAGTTTTAAGCACTTTCGTGAATATTGATAATTTCTTTTTTGATTAGTTCTTATATATTCTTCTTTCTCATGAGCTAATTCTTGAGAAGAACAAAAGCAATAATACGCCTTTTTTTCTTTTACTAATTTATTAACGTATTTCTTATAAATCTCTAGCCGTTGGGTCTGCCGATAGGGGCCATATTCGCCAGTTTGAAAAACAGATTCGTCTGGCTTTATGCCTAATCATAATAAGTCCTCATACAAATTGTTGACAAATTCTTCTTTGTTTCTTTCTTGGTCGGTGTCCTCAATTCGGAGGATAAACTGGCCTTGACTTTTTTTCGCCCACAGGTAGCAAAAAAGAGCCGTACGGGCTCCCCCAATGTGTAATTCTCCGGTCGGACTAGGAGCAAACCTAGTCCTAACTAATTCTTTTTTCACAATTTATTTTAATCCTGTCTAGTTCTCTGCGGATTTGTCAAATTCGATAAGCAGCGAACATGATAGGAATAAGGTAACTTATATTTAACAAATATCAATAATCACCATATTTTTTGTCACCTGCCTCCGATGCTCCTTCTACAATAATCCGAGCGACTTCCCCGCAAATAGTTAATATCCCAAATTTTTTTAAGGTTTCCTTACAATGCTCGTTCGACTCGGTTGCCTTGGTTATTATGTGGTCTTTTTTTTTATAACTTATTCCTTCCGCTTTGTTGATAGCATAGCACATTTGATTAAAAGGAGACTTTAATAAAGCAGTGACAAAACCATCCATGGTAAACAAAAGACCGGTAATTATTCCTGCTCCCAAAACTACAAGAGGAAACTTTTTTCCCGGGTTGAGCCCTCTACTATTCAAAAGATTTCTTACTCCTCCAGATATAACTAATACTCAGAAGGCATAGGAAATAATATAAATAAATATCAAACCAAATAAATACCTCCAATATTTTCGAAATTGCTCGTTAATTCTTTTAAGTGTTTTTTTATCCAACTTTTTAGTCTCTATTTCTAATTTCTTATTTTTTATTTCTTTACTTTTAATATTTTTTTCTTGTTTCTTGGTGTCCATATAAGTAGAACAATTTATTTTATATATTTTTGTTCTCTATCTAAACTGTTAATTCTCAGCGGCCTTTGGCACGACGGGCCACAATTACGGAATAATTTTTTTTCATGCGAGTTAAGAATCCATGCTTTCTTTTTCTTTTCTTTTTCTTGGGTTGATAGGTTCGTTTCATATCTCAATAAATTATTTTTAACGTTTATATTAATTATATTTATGTCTAGTCTCGTTTTTGCCTCTATCTCAAAAAATAAATTAACAATGAAAGTATTAGCAATTGGCGATATATTTGGTAAAACTGGTCGTCGAGTCATTAAAGATTGCCTTCCAAAGTTAAAAAATGAGCATGAGATTGACCTGATTATTGCTAACGTGGAAAACACTACCCACGGCAAAGGAATATCCCGCAACCATTACCAAGAGTTAAAAAATTATGGGATTGATATAATGACTTCTGGCAATCATATTTTTGCTGTCGAAGAAACCAAAAAGTATATCACAGAAGTACCCGATTTGTTAAGACCACTCAATTCTAATCCCTATCACCCTGGACCCGGAACTATTTTGACAAAGATTAAAGGCAAGAAAATTCGGATTACTAATTTATTAGGAACTAATTTCATGCCAATGGCTACAGAAAACCCTTTTTTTGTCCTAGAAAAAGTACTAAATTTACAAGACTGTGATATTCACCTTGTCGATTATCATGCTGAGACCACAGCTGAAAAAATTGCTTTGGCTTTATATTTTGATGGCAAAATCAGTGCTTTATGGGGAACTCATACTCACGTGCAAACGGCTGACGAAAGAACCTTACCAAGAGGAACTGGATTTATTACTGACCTCGGAATGACTGGTCCTTACGGGGGAGTCATTGGCGCCAAGCCAGAAGTGATTTTTCAAAGAGCTAAATATGGTTTACCAGCTAAAATGACTCCTCATGAAGATAACGGACAATTTAATGGGGTTATTTTTGAGTTTGACGACGATAGCAATAAACTACTAAATATTAGAAGAATTAAAAAAGTGTTTTAAAATTAATAAAACAAATAACAATACATAGCGTTAAAATATAAAATTGTTATATTATGGTAAATGCTCAAGAATGATTAGACAAATGGTATCCAAAAGAAGGGAAGTGCATTTTCGAGAAAGATGAAAAAAATTTCGGTGCAAAAAGACCCATGATTTTTAATTTGCGTATTATTTACCAAAACCTAGAAGGCTCTTTGGATTTATCTGGTTTTGTGAATTTAGAGAAATTAAATTTTTTTAAAAACCAACTTACTAGTTTAGATTTAAGTCAGTGTGGGAATTTAAAGATATTAGTTTGCTCTAAAAATCAATTCACTTCAGTAGACTTTTTAAATACTTTGCCTCATCCCGAGAAATTAGAAGAATTAGAAATTTGATGCAACAATATCCAGCCCACCGACATTGCTGTCTTTAGTAGATTTACTAATTTAAGAGAGTTAAAAATAGGATATAATAAATTCTTTGGATCCTTTCAGTCTTGACAAAACTTAACTAAATTAAGAAATATTTGTATCGAAGCCACTGATGTAAATGAGGGACTAGAATACTTACCAATGAGTTTAGCCCAAGCCACTCAGGGAGGAAAATATTCCGAAATTGAATGCTCCTCCCACGACACCAATGCCAAATGTTTGGCTATCCAAAATGAATTAAGACCCTTCAACTACGATCTCGAAGCCTGACAATTAGCCCATCCGGAAAAAATGCTAATTGCTAGACCAGAATATTTTATTAATGAGGATAGCAAAGATAAATGAATAGAAGCCTTAAAAAACAAAATTAAACAAGGCCAAGAAGTCTTGGATTATATTGTTCAAAATGAACCTAATAAAGAGGTTAAAATTATTCGTCTAGAAACCCAAATTAAAATCATTAAAATCTTGGAAGAAGTAAAAAAACAATTAAGGGAAGAGATAGAGGAGGAAAGAGAGACCCACGAGGACGCGATGAAAGCCATGGATAACTTTTACCAACAAAATCCACCTCGCGAAGATCTTAGGTTAAAAAGCATTCTCCAACAGTTTGAAGAAGAATACTTAAAACTTAATCGAGAGAATAAGCAAAAGGAACAAAAAATTAAAGAACTAGAAGGAACTATTAAAGTTATAAATAAATTAACCGAACCAGAAACCCAAGACCAAGGAACTCAAACTGAATTAACAGGGGAGGAATTAAAGAAGCAACAAAAAGAAATTAAAGAACTGAGGGAGCAAATAAATAAATTAACAGTTAAAAAATAAATAACATTTTTCTGAACAACGAAATTTTTTTTTCTTATTAAACGTAATATTTTTAATTCTTTTCCTCTTCAATGCCTAGTTTTTTAATCGCTTTAGCAGCGGCCTGCTGCTCGGCTTTACTTTTGCTACGACCTTCTCCACTTTCCCAAAAAGTCCTTGGTCCGTCATTTACTTCTACTTCCACAATGAATAACTGTTGGTGTCCTTCTCTTATTATTTTTTTTCCTTTTAGTCGGTAATTAACTCGGCCCTTATGTGCTTGACAATATTCTTGTAATTGGCTTTTATAATCCCAAATCATATTTTCTTTACCTTCAATCCAAGTAAAGACAGTTAGACTAAGAAAGCGGTGAACCATTTTGCTACCTTTTTCTAAATACAAGGCTGCCACAAAGGATTCGAATATATCAGCTAATATGCTTTCTTTCTCGGCCCCATGGTTTTTTCTCTCCCCCATTCCTAATTGAAGAAATTCCCCTAAGCCAATTTCCTTACTTAAGCAAGCCAGTGTGTCCTCTTGTACCATTAACTGTTTCAATTTACTCATTTGCCCTTCGGCATAATTAGGGAACTTGTGGTAAATAAAAAGGCTAGTATGAAAATTTAATACGCTGTCCCCTAAAAATTCCAAAGTTTCGTAAGAGAAAATAGGCTTCTCATTATTTTCTGAACTTGGCTCTGAGTCAGAACTTCTCCTTAGTTTTAATTCATTAAGGTAAGAAGTATGGGTAAAAGCCTGCTTAAAATTTTCCGTATCCTTAATGCTTTCAATTATTTTACTTATTTTTTTTAATCGATAAACCATTAAATCTTTTTATAAGATTAACTTATGTTAGCTTCGCTGGAATAAGGTGTTCCAACTCGTTTTAAGGAGGGAGAAAGCAGATAATAGTTTCATTTACTCAAATGACAATTTACCACGTAAATAACTTCTTCTTTTTCACCCTTTTTCCGGTAAACTGTGTAGTAAATAGGGGAGTATTTTTTTAACAATTTTAAGCCTTTGTTACGATCTTCTTCCGTCAAGGAATGGAGACGAAGTAGAACAATTTGGTCGCGAGGGAAGATTTGACTAATCAGGAACGAGGAAAGAAAAATGTAAATCATGGTCGCTCATAATCGCTCATTATTGGTAATATAACTTAAATACTTTGGAATAATATTTCGTTGCTGCTCTTTAGTTAGTTCCTTAATTCTTGTTTCTAAATCATTATTTCTCTGCAACTTTTTGACTAATTCTGTCCCCGAAGCATTGGGTAATTCTTTTTCAATTTCTTTCTTCTCCTTTTCTAACTTATTCTTTTTTTCCGCACTCTCTGCGAGATAATAATCTACTTCTTGGGGATAATCCTCCAATTTTTGATATCCTGTTTTGTTTTTCAGAAGGGAAGTGAGAGGACGATTTCTTTCCCTAATTTCAAAAATTTTTTTGATGTTTCGGTTCTCCTCTTTTTCTAACTGCTTAGCATTTTTCATATCCTCTTCTCAGCCCTTCAAGACAATTCGTGTTTCTTTTCCTTTTATTTTAAGTCCTTTTTCTTCCAACTTTTCCTTCTGTTCCTCAATTTCTTTTTGGAGAAGGCTTTCCTTCATTTTCGAATTATCCTCTATCATCGTGAAATTAATTAAGGTAACCAAAAAAATAATAACCAGCCCAAAAATCTTCATGAGGGTGCTGATTGAAACCTTTTTTTTCCCCTTGCGTGAAGAAAAATGGGAAGTAAAAATCTCTAAGCCTCCTGGGGTAGCCTGAGCTTGGAAAATTAAACTATAGCCATAAGTGTGAATAATCGCAGCCACAATCGCAATGACTATGTAATATGGTAAAGTGAAAGATAATTGACTGCTGGCGCTTAACCCTTGCCAACTGCTAGGATTAAAACGATTGAAAACATACTCTCGCAATTTAAGAAGCCCAAATATTTGGGTTCAAACAATCTGGGATAAAACGTAAAAAATCGAGGTGCTGATTATTTCTAGTTTTGCCTTGAAAAAAGCCCGCAAAGCCAGGATAAAAAGAATATTAGTTAATAATCCTAAACCATAATAGATAAGGTAATAATGAACTCAACCAATGTTAGTACTACGACCAACTATTAACTTAGAAAAAGCTTGTAACAAGCCGTTTAAACCGCTATTATAAAGGCCATTGGGGTCAATTAAAAAGTAAAAAGTGAGGGTAGTAAATAAAGCGCCAATAAAAACTATGGCTAATTTACTTAAATACTTGAAAGTTAACTGTTTACCAGTAGGTTTTTTTACCGGTTTTTCTAAATAAAGGCGACGAATAAACTCATTATATTGCTGTCAAATATTATAAGTCCCTTGGTTTTGTGAGTTATTTATTTCAGTCTTTTGTTGTTTTTTTTTCATCGCAGTTTTCTAATTTAGTAATGGTGTATAAGGAGAAATTTGATTGATAAAAATGTAGTTAATCTCTTCCTTTTGGAGTGAGTTTTTTGTTAAAAGAACTTCGGCTAATAAGTTTAACACTCGTCTTTTTTTTCGCAGTATTACTTTAACTTTTTTTCAACATTGGTTCATTATTTTTTCTCGCTCATTCTCAATTTTTTGCTTAGCAGTTTCTGGCAATTCGGCAGTTAACATTTCTTCTCCGTAAAAAAAAGATTCTTGGGTTGGAATAATCCCTAAGTCAGACATTCCATAATGTAAAATTAAATCACGCACAATTCCCGAAGCCTTTTTGAAATCATCTCAGGCTCCTCCAGTAATGTAATCTAGACCAAAAATTAACTCTTCGCTGGCTCGTCCGCCTAAAAAAGTCATAACATTAGCAAGCATTTGGGCCTTATTAAGCATATAATCGTCTCCTTGTTCTCCGTACAAGTCGATTCAAGTATAGCCACCAGCATGTAAACGTGGGACAATGGTAATTTTTTTGACAACCGTTTCCGACAAACTCATGCCAATAACCGCATGACCAGCCTCGTGGTAAGCAATTATCCTTTTTTTAGCAGGGGTGAGGGTTTGGCTGGTTAAAGAGGGGCCCATTAGCACCCGGTCATAAGCCTCAAAAATCATTTCATAGTCAATAAATTTTTCGCCATGACGGATACTTAAAATAGAGGCCTCGTTAAACATGTTAGTGATTTGAGCTCCACTTAGACCTTTAGTCATGGCGACAATTTCCTCTAAATCAACGTCCGATTTAAGTGGCAGTTTGCGAGTACAAATCCTAATAATCTCCCGCCGTCCTTTTAAATTGGGGAGAGGTATGTAAATTTGACGGTCAAACCGACCGGGTCGCAAAAGCGCGTTATCTAAGACTTTTAAGGAATTAGTGGCCGCCAAAATAACAATATTATCACGAGGATGAAAGCCATCTAATTCATTTAGCAATTGGTTTAAAGTTTGTTCGGCGTGACCAGTATTCCGGGAATATCTTTTCCGACCAATCGAGTCAATTTCATCAATAAACACAATACAGCCTTGGGGATAACTACGAGCCTGCTGAAAAAGTTCCCGCACTCGTCGGGCACCGACCCCAACCATCATTTCTTCAAATTCAGAACCAGAGCGAAAGAGAAAAGGCAAACGACATTCTCCTGCTAAAGCCTTAGCCAATAAAGTCTTGCCATTGCCGGGTGGACCAACCAACAGCACCCCCTTTGGCACCTTGGCCCCTCGTTGCCAAAAAGACTGCGGGTTATGAAAATAAGAAACTACTTCTCCTAATTCCTCCTTAGCCTCTTGTAGCCCACCAACATCCTTGAACCTCGCGCGCGGAATGCCAACCTCTCCTCCTCCTTTTTTTCAATTCCGAAAAGGATAAGAAATAAAACCAATAAAATTAGTGCCAAAAATCATGTCAACAAAATAAAGAGAGACAATGAAAGAAGCGACGTAAAAAAGGAATTTAAATATATCTCAGATACTAATCGACTTTTCCTCCTTGAACAGGTCAAACCTACCACGAAGAAGTTGAGTAGTGTGAATTTTTTTTACCTTGCTTTTGTTAATGAGGCCGCTAAATTCAATCTCCTTATCCCTTACCTCATGAGGCTCAGCAGAACTAAGAGTAGAGTAGATGGTGGGCTTACCAATCAGCCGCTTGAAGAAATTTTTCCCTTCTCCATAGAGGCGGTATTGGGTCTTCTCTCCCCATGGATGGCTCGCACATTCCGCTTTTTGTCAATCTATCTTGTCAATTTCTTCTTCAGTCAGATTGTAAATTACAATCGTTCCATCATCTTTCTTCCTCATCTCAAATTGCTTTATGTCAGGTGAAGAAAAATGCATAAAAAGCAAAACCCCTCCTATTATCAGAAGAAGTAAAATTATTACTGGACCTAGCCATTTCCCTGTTTCCGAAGACTTTTTAATTTTTTTTGGCGGTTCTTTTTCTTTCATTATTTGTTAATATTAATATATTTTTAAGACGAAATAAGGGCTTGACGACCCGTTTTAACTATCCGGAAATTGTTCCCTAATTTTATAATTAAGTTTTTTTTTTGGCTTGTAAATAATTGCTTATAAACCTCGTTAAGGAGACTTTTTTTCCTTTTTTGGAGGATTCCGTTCGTGGCTTGGTTAATTCAAAAATAAAGCAAACGTAAATAAACTTCTGGCAAATATTCATTTCCTTTATCAAGTTTAAGAACAACAGGAGAAATAATTAACTGTTTAACAGCGACTTTAACTAACTTTTTAATTTTTCTTAACTCTTGGTTTTTTTCTTTAATTTCCTTGGCAAGAATCTTTTTTTCCTCTTTGCTTAAACTGTCTAATTTCTGCCGGACAATATTGCGCTGATAAATAGGCAGTTGGTTAGTAGTATCAACGGCATAGTTTATTTTGTTTTGGGCTAAGCGCTGGTAAATCTGTTGCTTATTAAGAGACAAAAGAGGACGCAGTATTCAATATTTTCCTTGTTTAGTTTTTGCAGGCAGTCCTCAATATTCAACTAATGACTTTCTTTGTTTTTGTAGCCAATAGGTTTCTAAATGGTCGTCTAAATGGTGGGCTACTACAATATATTTAGTTTGATACTTTTCAGTTAACTTTGCGAAAAAATCATAACGGATTTGGCGGGCTCTATCCTGAAAATTGCTAATGGAACTGTATTCCGAACCTTTTGCTTGGTAAACTTCACAGAGCAAAGAGTATTTTTGACAATAATTTCTCACTAATTTTTCGTCATAATCACTGTTCTCTCTTTTTTTATAATTGACATGGGCAGCCACTAAATTACATCTTTCGCAACGCATTCTTTCCAGCAAAAACATGCTGTCAGGACCGCCCGAAACGGCTACTATATACAGTTTATTTTTATCTAAAATTTTTTGGTTAAACAATTTTATTATAATGCTAATGATTCTTTTATTTGATAAATTATTTTTTTGCTAAAAGTTGACCTTATTCCAAAAAGTTTGTAAAATAAATTAAAAGGAAACTAAAATATAAATTAACAATAAAGTTAAAATTATGACAGATAATCAAAAAAAAGTCCTGGCTAATCGCATTAAAACGGATTTAAGAAAAGAAATCGCCAGCGGAGATTTAAGCGAACTTTCCGATTACGGACTAGTAGCAGACAACGGCAATATTTTTTCCATTAGCGAATACTTTATTTGCTCTCTTCGCAAAAATATTTTTAAACCGAGTGATTTTGAAAAAGAGGATTACGATGAAATAGTAAATTTAATTCGCCGGCGGCTTCAACTACAAACCCAAGAAAGAGCCAAGGAAAGGCAAAAAAAA